CAGACCATTCCTCCTTGGCTCGTTGCCACCCCACATGTGACCCCTCTTTGAGTCATCTAAGGAAGACAGATACTCCCGATTGAAAGTGCTGTCTTCTCTTTGCCGAACATCTTTCGAGCCATTCTTTTGATGGTTCGAAATCAGGTGACTCTGTAGGCTCTGCCATGGTTTGTTGTGGCTCGATGGTTACTCACAGGATCTCCTCTACAATTTCTGTGTTCACTGCCGATTTGCATGCCATTTCTCTTGCCCTGGATCACATAGAAACTAAGCAGAACAGTAACTGTGCCATTTGTAATGACTCTCTTAATTCTTTATTGGCTCTAGAATCACTTAATGTATGTTCTCACTCTGTTCCCATTGCTATTCAGAAACGACTGGCCCACTTTTCACTGCCTTCTGTTTCCATCCAGTTTTTCTGGATTCCTGGCCATGTAGGTAATCGTGGGAATGAGCTTGTTCACATTGCATCTAAGTCTATCTACTCTGGTGCTGTCACAGGCATGTCTGTCCCGTAAATAGACTATGGTCTTGTGATCAAGGCCCAGCTTCGTGCCAGTTGGCAGTCGACTTGGGGTGAGTAACTTCATAGCAAGATACTCACAGATCAAACATACTGTTGTTTTTGGCCATCTAGTTTCCGTAAGGATCGTCGGGAGGAAGTTGTTTTGTGTAAGCTACGCATTGGTCACAGTTTTTTACTCATCATCTTCTTTTATGTGGGAATGATCCGCCAGTGTGTGGCCTTTCTGATACTTAAGTCACAATTGCACATATTTTACTTTCATGCTGTAGTGACGAATGTGAGAAGCGGCATCATTTTAGACATGTCTCTTCTAAAAAAAATAATCAAGCTGGACAGTGTCGCCATCGCCAGTGACACTGTCCAACTTTGTTTGTTTATTGTTTTAACGAGCCATTGGCCTTTTTAATTCTATTTGAGTTTTTACCTGGTTTTTGGACATTGTTTAGCTTTTAACTTCATGTCTTTTTACTTTGTATAGTGTTTTACTTTTTGTTTTATTTTTATATCAGTTGTTTAGCGGAGATAACGATGTTGTTTTGCGCCAGTATACTCTAACAACCATCCAACCAACCGGCTACGAAACGACAGGCCCCCCAGTGGCACAGCGGTATGCCTGCGGACTTACAACGCTAGAAACCGGGTTTCGATACCCATGGTGGGCAGAGCACAGATAGCCCATTGTGTAGCTTTGTGCATAACTACAAACAAACGTCACGGCAGACATAGTAGTTGGTTTATGCATTATTTATATAATCAAATTTCACGAATAACGACTATTACGGTGTGAAATAGATTACAAAAGTTAATTGTAATTACTATCAAGTTTACTTAAGTCATTACCTAATCAGATTTTTAAGGTAAGGATTAATAACATAATATTATTATTTTCTTCATAGTCAGCGAGTAAGGAACCGCTACATTAACGGGAGAAAACTACACTAGTAATTCACAGAATATGTCAACCATAATATATCTGCTATAGCTACAAGCTCTCAGCATTGTTTCTCGTGTTCTAGGGTTACTCGTAGAGGATTATACTAGAACTCTCAATACTGTTTTGTGGTTAATCTTAGTGGGTTTTGCTTGAATTCACAGCATTGTTTCTTGTATTCTATAGCAACTGTTTACTAGTACTCCCAGCATTGTTTCTCCTGTTCTGTAATTACTCTTAATGGATTTTACTTGAATTTCCATCATTATTTATTCTGATCTATTTTTATTCTTAGTGTGTTTTACTAGTACTCCCAGCATTGTTTCTCGTGTTCTATGGTTACTCTTAGTGTATTTTACTAGTACTCCCAGCATTGTTTCTCGTGTTATATTGTTATTCTTAGTGTATTTTACTAGATCTCCCAGTATTGTTTCTCGTGTTCTATGGTTACTCTTAGTGTGTTTTACTAGAACTCCCAGCATTGTTTCTCGTGTGCTATGGTTACTCTTAGTGTGTTTTACTAGAACTCCCAGCATTGTTTCTCGTGTTCTATGGTTACTCTTAGTGTGTTTTACTAGAACTCCCAGCACTGTTTCTCGTGTTTTATTGTTACTCTTAGTGTATTTTACTAGTACTCCCAGCATTGTTTCTCGTGTTCTATGGTTACTCTTAGTGTATTTTACTAGAACTCCAGTATTGTTTCTCGTGTTTTATGGTTACTCTTAATGGATTTTACTTGAGCTCCCAGCATTGTTTCTCCTGTTCTATGGTTACTTTAAATGAATTTTATATAAGTTCCCAGCATTGTTTCTCGTGTTCTATGGCTATTCTTAGTGAATTTTAATATAACTCCCAGAATTGTTTCTTTTGTTCTGTGGTTACTCTAAAAGGATTTTACTTGTACTTCCAGCATTTTTTCTATACCAGGGATTCTCAAACTGTGGTACGCGTATCATTTGTGGTACATGGAGCTAATGTCTAGGTATGCGAAAGATGAATATAAAAATTATAAAATTTGTAATAAGCTAGATTTGAGCTTCCCGAGTACATATACGCACTGCCTTCTTCACCTCTTGACTAGCCAGTGTGTTCTTCCCTTCAAACTGACAAAAATCACGCCAGATATTTTCAGTTATTCCAGAAAAAACAGTTACATATTTCCCAATAATAGGTAAGTTTTAAAAATATAAATGTTTAGCTACTGAATTTTACTATTTGATTTAATTAGGCCCGGGTTTGTACTTCAAAGAAGTTTAAACAAAAAGTGGTACACGAGCCTGAAAGGTATGAGAACCACTGTTCTATATGCTTATTCTTAATGTATTTTACTTGAACTCTCAGCATTGTTCGTGTTCTGTGGTTACTCTTAGTGGCTTTTATTTGAATTCGCTACATTGTTTCTAATTTTCTGTGGTTTATTCTTAGTGGACTGTAATTGAACTACGATATTTTTTTTATGTTCTATGGATACGCCTAGTGGATTGTGCATGAATTCCTTGGACTGTTACTCATGTTCTATGGATACGCCTAGTGGATTTTACATGAATTCCTTGGACTTTTACTCATGTTCTGTGACTACTCAGAGTGAATTTTACGTATTGAATTCCAGAATTATGGCTCATGTTCTACAGCTACTCTTGGTGACTTGTACTTCTTGAACTCCAGCACCGTTTTTCATGTTCTGTAGCTACCGAGGAAGCAGTGTTTTAAGGGTTCTATTACTGTATATAGATAACTCAAAATAATAATATATTTTATTTATGTTACTATAGTGATTTCTCAAACAGATAAACTGTGTTATTCTTGTTGTGTTATTATAGTAACTGTTGAAATGGGTAAAGACATAGGTTACAACGATGTTACTAAGGTCAGTTCAAATATACGAACAGTTTTTCACACGTTTAGTTGCAACAGCGTTTCTTCAAATGGTATTTCGTTTGAAGTGTTGTTGTTTTTCTGAACAATCAAATATTTTTACAAGTTATCTAATTGACCTAAATCTTATAAGGTATCCATGTCTCTACAATTTACCATTAACTGAAACAAAATTGAAAACGTTTTAAAAAAATCGTCAAGTACGGTTATTATTTGAACCAAACAATCTCTCTTGATAATAATATACATATCGATGTATTTTCTACTCTCCTCCATTTCCGCCAGTTCTTCTTTCCTACCAGTTTGATCAAGTTTTTTTTACTTGTTTCTGATATATATGTTTAGGCTATGTATACCTATAACTAACATTTTTCTTCCTGGTACTTTTCATTATAAGTTCAAAGTCATAAATCACTCGAACAGTTGTTGCAGTTGATACAAAAGAGGAAGAGAAAAAACGACGATAACTAGCTATTGTGTACTGAGTTCGTATCAGTGTTCGAACCGCTGTTTCACTAACTGCTCAATGGTAAGTATAGACACGGTATCCGTATGAACTCTGAGATAAAAAACACAGCCTCGAATGGCTTTGTTTTCGTACGTAATTGTTGAAATCCTGTTCTGCGAATACATACATTTATGTGTGAGAAAAATGGTTTCAAAGTTATTTCCTAAATATTCACACTCATGTTTGTGACATTGAAATAAACTCCAATCACCATCATCTGACACTTAGCGGAAATTTTGAAACGAAATACGCAAAGAAATAAAAACTGCGATAAGAATCATCTTAAGATGTCCAGGAAGGAATTCGTATGTTTTTTAATGTCCAGATTAAAAAGCATGAATATCATCAGTATCTGACGTATGAAAGAAAACCAATAACTATTTTATTGGTACTATGCCTGATACATACGCCATGCCACAATGCTAGATAGCGATAATTTCGTCAGTCATTATCAACTTTTTCAGTAATATTCCTGACAAATGTACCTTCTTAAAGTGATGAAGAAATCACTTGGCTAGTCTGTGTTTATTTCCGGGTCGTATTTTGATATCATGAACTATATCTACATAATTTTTCGAAAAATTTATTATTAAAAAACTTAATAATAAAGATCATTGTTATCCAGCAGAAACCGTGACCTTTGTTGTGCCACATCTCTAGTTGGTCAATTGGACACCCACATGAGGAGGTAGACCTATGTTATTCGGATTTGTCTGATTGTGATTGGTTCAATTAATAGAGGAGATTTGGTGTTTTGGGTCAGTCAAGGATTTAAAAGAAGTCCAGAAAGAGATCTTAAGTAGCAACACGGTCTGTTAGATATTTATACATTTGTCTTGTTGAAGTTGAGCAGTGTTAAGATAGGTTGGGTCTTGACACAATTGATTATTATTTCTGTTCTTATATTCTTTGATAATGCTTTATTTCTACTTATTCAATATTATTATTTCGAGTTATATTTGTCGTAAACAAGACTATTATTTGTTTTGTCGGTCAAATATAGTATATGTCAATAGCATTTTATATCCACATCCCCGTTCCTCCGTTATTACTGTCCATAACTCAATTTTGTTGTTTACCATATGAGTAGTGTACCTGACACATATGCAGATATAACTAGGTATGTGAATTTCAGAAGTTTGAAAAATATTAACACTTACCAGAAAAATACCCATGGCTAGTGTTAGGGCACGCCATCTCGGAGTTATCATCTCTGTCCGAGTTGAGTCCTGAACGTAGAGATCTCATAGCGCGCCTTGCTCCGCGAAAACAATGTCGGCGAGTCCCTAAATGGCTTAGTTCTTTCATCCTCCTTTCTTTTGAACGTCGGTTTTGAAACCAAACCTGAAGAAATGTAAAATATAAATAATATTTATTTAGGTCATCAGCTACTATTCAATTTGTCGGTATTTATTTGTATACTTAAAATAATTACACATTAATAGAATATGTAATTTTATATGTGAAAAATAATAATTTTTGTATATTTTACTGAGGATGCGAGGAGCAACAGAAAATTCACCATTTGACCATGGGGTAGCGATATGTATGACTTTTGCTATGCTTAATGTTTACATTAAAGTGTTCATCGTGCTTTATTACAGTAATAAAAGTGTGTAGCACCATATGGTGTTTAATGATCAAAACTGTAAGTCGGCCTAAGTTAAACCTAACGTAAACCCTACAATTTGTGGTGAGCAAATTAGACCTGTTGCATTCGAATTTCGATGTCAATTAAACGCGATTTAAAACACATTTTACCTCAAATAAAAATAAAGAAAACTTGTTAAAAATGATTAGAATTGTATTGCTTTAGCAGAGATATACCTCTATTTATAAAACATACATATAATATGAACAATTAGGCCTAAACTATAACACGACCGCTAAGTATCAAAGCTGTGTAGTTATAGATCTACACCGAGTGAACAGTTAGACTGATTTTATAGCTTTCATTTTATTTACTTTTTGTCTAACAAAGTTTTACTTAACATCAAATGTGAAAATTTACTCTTTCGTGGCCTCTTCACACTACTCTATAATAACACTTTGTGACTGTTTGTTTGTAATTAAGCACAAAGCTACACAATGATACGGTGGTCTTAGTATCATGTCTCACACTTATCAGTCTGTGTGCTTTTTTGTTGTTAATCATAAAACCGCGCAATGGGCTATTTGTGTTGTGCCCAGTAAAGAGTCAAACCCCGAACTTTAGCGTTATAGACCCTAAAGTTTATCGCCGAATCGCTGGGAGCCACCAGTTTTTGAAGGCATCACACTGATGTCGTCATATGGTATCAACTATGTATCAGAATCTCTTTAATACACAAAGCTTAATCTTCGAAAAATAACAAAACAACCATAGAAATATTCGCTCATTGTATTTTATATTTAGTGCACAAGTATGTCCTAAATATAATACCAAGTCACCCGAGGCATGTTTCTTTTAGGAAATTGATTGTATATCAATTACAGAGCGGTGTGCTGTTTAGAACACTTATACGCACGATTTTCTTGTCACACAGTCCTTTGCCCGTTCACAAGAAAATAAATATAATATTATTAGTCATAATATTATCAAAAAGATATAGATATGTGTTATCAAGATTGTATGCAATCATCAATATAACAAATTATATGTGCAGGCTAATTAAACTAGGCTACCATCAAGTACGTTGAGAAACCATACAGATACATAGGTTGACGATCAGCATGAATCGAATACCTACGTGATTAAAAGAAACAAGAATGACTAATCCAATCAAGAGTATGTTTTGTTTCAGATTTTTGCCCATTGTATAGCCATTCCTAATTTTGAACTGACAGACTGAGTAGTCAACAGCACTAGCCACCAACGTTTAAGCTATCCTGTATGATCTAATGTAATAAGGGGATTTGATCCTTACTCGTATAGCACACTGAAGGTCCCAAAAATGCGGACCAGTTTTGGCAGCAACTGGTCGCATACAATAAATTCTCGGTTTCACAGTCCGGGCTCACTAACCACTAGCCCACGCCCGACTCAGTGTGTACTAAACATTTGTCCAATATCGAATATCTAAATGGGAATATTTTTAATTCATGTGTTTAACAGAAAAAATACAGTATTGTTTATTTGTTTGTGTAGCTTTGCGCTTCGTCCACGATGGGGAATCGAACCCAGGATTTTAAAGTTGTAAATCCGTAAACTTACCGTTGACTCACTGGGGGGCCAAAAATTACAGTAACCTTTTGTAAATTCTCGCTTTATTACCACACTATTGATTTTGCAGGAAGTTAGTTTTTACAGGTTAGATAATAGTATGTGGTAGGATTCGATGGTGTTACGATTTAATGTCACAAAAATAATATAAATAAAATGGACAAAACCATTATATAAGCCATATATTTTTTCTTTGTTTTATCTTCATCAGCAATAAAGATCTTCAGGTATCAACACTTGTTATCTTACATTTATAAATATTATGTCTTTCTTGAAATATTTATTTTTCTTAATGATTTGTATAACGGCTAACTTTTTATATTATCATCCAATTAATGTAACACAAAATTATTACGATATTTTCACTTTATTTGAATAATTTTAAACTACTTATGTTTAATATATTATAACATGTTAGTGTAATAGAAATGTAACGCAAAGTGTAACTAACCACGAAACACACACATTTAAATATTTTCAGTAGATAAATAAGTATATCCCCTTCTTTTGTTCCAATTTTAAGTTGAATTAACGCTTAATATCCATTTTCTTTAGTTAAATTAAGCAGTCATGAAGTTTTATCAAATAGTATTTATTTTGAACATTATTTCTTTTTCGTCTTTTATACTATGAATCTGAGAACAACAATACGATAAATACGATACATAAATGTTCAAATGCAATGAATCAAGTTTTTATCCATTTTTATTTTTAGAAGTACAGGAAACGAAAACTGATTGACATATTAAGTTTTATTTGTTTGTTTAAAGTTAAGCACAAGGCTACACAAATGGCTATCTGAGCTTGGCCCACCACGGGTATCGAAACCCGGATTATAGAGTTGTAAGTCCGCAGACATACCGCTGTGTCACTGGGTGGGGTGGGGGCAAGTTAATGTTAAGGCTTTAATCAGCGTTTGTTGTTCAAAACCTTATCATAATGTGAAAAAGTGTTTAGCTTTGGTAGTTATATAAATGTGTACTAGTGCAGCTACAGTAGAAATATATTTTAATACTTAAAGGTGTTTCTTTATTTACTGAGCAAAAGCTACACAATGGGCTACTTGTGATAAGTTCGTCACCGGGATCGATCCCTTAATTTTAACGTTATAAGCTTTGACACTTACTACTGAGTCTCCAGGTGACTTTCCAATGCGTTTGAATAGGTAGTTTATGAATGAGTTAAGGAAATTCATTCTATATCTGCTACTCACAGATATGCAAATCATATTTACTCCTTGTTGATTATATGTCAAAGAATAGGAGAAATTCGTATAACATAAATCTGGAAATGTATGTTCAATATAGACAAACTATTTCTGATATCATTCTCTCATTGCAAAATGATCGCTTATCAGAGTGCTGTTAGATTTAATTTCTTAGTGTCGTTTGATTCCACCGGAAAAAAAAAAATGTCACGTTCGTCCGTTACGTGTTGGCTATTTGTCGTCATGACAGAAATTGATCAAGAATAAAGGTGACTGCTAATTTTCATTATTGCTATGATAATAATAATATATATATTCCCTGAAAACCTGAGATATTCAGAAAAACGTGTCTTATATTTCGGCACGTTAGAAAAAAAAATGGTGCAATCCAATTCCCTGGTGTACATACGTAAAACTAAGCCTGCTTACCTTTAATAGTTTTAGGATCTCTTGAACAATTCAAATATATATTTTTCATATTGTAGGTTCCTTCGTAATTCGATGAATTTTGACGCTGCAATCAATTTATTACTATTTCAAACTTGTTACAGAAACAAATTAAACAATTCACGTGAAAAATAATATAAATCAGGGCATCTTATATATACACGTGTATTTTTATACCAATAAAATGCCAGAAGACTGGTAATTAAGACTTTATAGACTACTTTAGCCCATAGGTGTTCGATAAAAATACCATGATAGTCGTCTGTCACATTATAACTCAAAAATCGTTAACAAAGTGAGAATAATTTTTGGCATATTCTAAAATAAGAGCTGGATTAATGATTCTAATAATTAATTATCAAACTTCTGAATATTGAGTTATGGATGAAGCGTCAGCTGTAGAAGTGAGTTATCTTAAAACGCTGTGCAATTGTGTAATTAAAGATAGAGGTTAGAGGTTAATGTCATAAGCTTGTAAAGGTCAGCAATGTTTTCTAGTAAGCGTAACTGTCAAAGGTCAAATCCATTCTACACTGAGACGGCACTTAGAAACCGATGTTGAATTCCAACTTTATCGGCGCAAGTATACGTTACGAACCCCCTGGTCAGTATGCTAGTTCATAGCAGGTTAACTTCCCAGTTGGTACCATCATACAGCTGGGTAGACTGAAACAATTGGTGGGAAGAATTTTGCTCAAGGATACAACAGTTTGTAGTGAGCGAGCCTCGAACTTGAAATCAACCTACTACGAGCTCGAAGCTACTGAACACCACTGCCCCAGTAGTTCACTATCATTCGATTGTTTGTCACCCTGTTACTTCATTAATCTTAAAGAATAACATAATTTGGGAAAACACTTGGGTTGCACTTAACTGAGCCCTTTTTCTTCTTCTCAGGGTCAGATCTACGTAACTATCCAGGATACGGTCAATTGATTGGTTAAAAACTTATGTTTCTAAAGATGCAAATATTGAAACTTATTTACAAACAACTTTTCGAACATGAATTCGATAGTCCTTAGTTGTTACCGTGGCATGAAATATCACAACTCTATATATTTTGTTGAATTGCGACACGTTCTACTAGCAGAAGAATATCACTTGGGAAACGGATGTTTGTCCGTCCATTGGAGAAGAAAAGAACACAAAATATGCAAAAAATAATCAAATGTACACGTGTAAGTAAAGCCATCTAAGAGCGACTATTATAGATGCACGTGTTTGTGTATTGTTAAAATGTAACAAGAAAACCCTTTCTACTGTAAAATTTTTGAATAATAATTTTCATGCAATGCTGTAGCATCAAAAATATTTTTAAAAGCCAAATTTTAGAGTATTGTTTATCTCGTTTTATGCTAATAAAAATGCTATATTTTTTATATTCTAAGGAAAAAGCACGTGCAATAAACATGTTTGAACATGTTTTCATTTGAGTTTCGAATAGGTTTGCAGCGTAATGTTTTAAAATTTTGTTTATAAATTCGATGT